ATTGTTCTATTAAGGGTGAAGCTCTATTTTGAAGGTTTAAATTTGATCATGTTGAAATTTCTAATAAAAGTAAAATACTTTATATATGAAGCTTAAATCCATTGCACTAATCTGCCATATTAGAAATTAGTTAATAATGGTAATTCTGAATATCTGTGTTCAGCAGGAGGAGAATTTTGAAATCATTCAATTGAAGAATTTAATTGAATTGAGTAAATTATTTGTCGGTTTATAATTATACTTTCTCAAATAATATATAGAAATAAAATAATTCTTAATAATGAAATTGTAGATCCAATTGTTGAAATAATATTTCATATAGTATAAGCATCTGGATAATCTGAGTATCGTCGAGGTATACCAGCTAATCCTAAAAAATGTTGTGGAAAAAGGTTAAATTTACTCCAATAAATATAATTATAAATTGACTTTTTAAAAGTTTTGCATTTATATATAATCCTGTAAATAGAGGGTATCAATGAATAAATCCAGCTATAATAGCAAATACAGCTCCTATTGACAAGACGTAATGAAAATGGGCTACAACATAATAGGTATCATGTAAGATGATATCAACAGAAGAATTAGCTAGAACTACTCCTGTCAATCCTCCAACTGTAAATAAAAATACAAATCCTAAAGCTCATATAGTAGTAGGAGAATAATTCAATTGGGTTCCATGAATTGTAGCTAATCAACTAAAAATTTTAATTCCTGTTGGAACAGCAATAATTATTGTTGCTGACGTAAAATAAGCTCGGGTGTCAACATCTATACCTACTGTAAATATGTGATGAGCTCATACAATAAATCCTAATAATCCAATAGCTAATATAGCATAAATTATTCCTAAAGATCCAAAAGTTTCCTTTTTTCCTGATTCTTGTCTAATAATATGAGAAATTATTCCAAATCCTGGAAGAATTAAAATATAAACTTCTGGATGCCCAAAAAATCAAAATAAATGTTGGTATAAGATTGGGTCTCCTCCACCAGCAGGGTCAAAAAATGAAGTATTTATATTTCGATCAGTTAATAATATTGTAATAGCACCTGCTAGAACAGGTAAAGATAATAATAATAATGCAGTAATTACAACAGATCAAACAAATAAAGGTATTCGATCAAAAGTAATTCCTGAAGATCGTATATTAATAACAGTAGTAATAAAATTTACAGCTCCTAAAATAGAAGAAATTCCTGCTAAATGTAGTGAAAAAATAGCTAAATCAACGGAAGCTCCTCCATGAGCAATAATAGAAGATAAGGGTGGATAAACAGTTCATCCTGTTCCAGCTCCGTTTTCAACTATACTTCTTATTAAAAGAAGAGTTAAAGAAGGAGGTAATAACCAAAATCTTATATTATTTATTCGTGGGAAAGCTATATCTGGGGCTCCTAGTATTAAAGGTACTAATCAATTTCCAAATCCACCAATTATGATTGGTATTACTATAAAAAAATTATAATGAAGGCGTGTGCTGTAACAATTACATTATAAATTTGATCGTCTCCAATTAAAGCTCCTGGGTGTCCTAATTCTGCCCGAATTAAAATTCTTAAAGAAGTTCCCACTATACCAGCTCATGCACCAAATAGAAAATAAAGGGTTCCAATATCTTTATGATTAGTAGAAAAAAGCCATTGTCGCGATTGATTAAATGGCTGAAATTTAGGCGATAGATTGTAAATCTATTTATAAGAATTATTTCTTTTTAATCAATAGCTGGCTTTATAGTCAAATAAATGATTTTAGACTGCAATTCTAACGGTGTATTTTATACTAAGGCTTAAGAATTATTTCATATTTCCAGCTTTGAAGGCTATTAGTTTCATTAACTTAAAACCTTTAATTTAATAAAGATAAAAAATTATTGAAACTAATAAAAGACCAAATCTAGAAAAAATGAAATGATTAAATAAATGAAATTAAACTTATTTTTGTTTAAATTATAATATAAAATTTTTGATTCAAAAAAATTTATTATAAATGCTGAATAAGTTAAACGAAGGTAAAAAAATAGGGTAATTAAGGAAGTTATCAAAAGAATTATTAATAATATTATTCTATTATTAATAATTATATATTGAATAACTCATCATTTTGGTAAAAATCCTAAAAAGGGGGGTAATCCTCCTAAAGATAAAAAATTTATAAAAGTTAAATATTTAAAATTTTTTATTTTATTAAAAATTATGAAAAGTTGATTAATATGTGTTAGTTTATAGACATTAAATATTAATATTAATGTAATGGATAAAAAACAATAAAATAAAAAATAATTTAGTCATATTATATTATTAGAATTTATTGAAATTAATATTCATCTGATATGATTAATTGAAGAAAAAACTATTAATTTTCGTAAAGAAGTTTGGTTTAATCCTCCAATGGCTCCAATAATAGCAGAAAAAATAATTCTTATTCTTATTAAATAATTATTTCTAATATAAGAGACTAAACTTAAAGGGGCGAGTTTTTGTCAAGTTATTAAAATAATTAGATTTATTCATGATAATCTTTCTGAGACTCTAGGAAATCAAAAATGGAGAGGGGCGGCTCCTATTTTTGTTAGTAAAGAAGAAAGGATTATTAAATAATTTTTTTCTAAAGATTCATTAATTGAATTATTTTTTAAAATTAGAATAATTGAAAATAAAAGAATAACTGATCTGAATGCTTGAATTAAAAAATATTTTAAAGAAGCTTCAGAGGATATTAAGTTATTTTTATAATTAATTAAAGGAATAAAGGCTAATAAATTAACTTCTAATCCTATTCATGCTATTAGTCATGAATTTGAAGATATAGTAATTATTGTTCCTATGATTATAATTAAAAAAAATAAAATTTTAGATGAATTAATAAAAATTAAAAAAAAAGGGTTAAAACCTTTATAAATGGGGTATGAACCCATTAGCTTAATTAGCTTATCTTTTTAAATTTAATAAAAATAATTTTAATATATACATATAAATATATTTTAGTGTAAGAAGCACATAAGATTTTGATTCTTTTAGGAATAGTTTAATTCTATTAAATATAATGAATATGGTAAACCACATGATTTACTCTATCAAAGTAACCCTTTAATCAGGCAATTCATTTAAAATTTTCCATTTAAAATTTAAGATGGATTTTTATTTTTTAAGGATTTTGGTGTATTTTATAAAAAATTTATTTAAATATGGTTTTGTATATTTTTTTGTGTTTATTTAACTTTTTAAGTACGTTATTAAATTTTAAATATTAAATTAATTTTATTCATTTTTATATTTGTTGTTTTGTTGTTATTTATAAATATTAAATAAATATTATTTTTAATATATTTTTATAATATTAAAAATTTTTTATTTAAATTTTAAATGGAAAATTATTTAAAATTTAAAATTTAAGATGTGTTTTAAAATTTTTATTTTTTTTATACTTAATAAATATTATTTATATATAATTTTATTTTAATTTCAATTTTTATTTTTTAAAAATAAAAATATTTACAGATAATTTTATTTTTCCTATATATATAACTATATATTAAATTAATATATTTATATAAATAGATTTATTTATATATAATTATAAATTTCATAATTTAAAATATTAAATATTACATAATTATTAAATATACTATATATATAAATATATAAGGGTGGAATTTAATATAAATAATTTAATTTAATAGGGTTAATATTATAATTGTTTGATATATATATATTAATTAATTAAATCTTTATATATTTGGCAATATTTTTTAATGGAACATTAGATAAATATATAAATATTAAAAAATAGGAGATATCCTTACCGATTTGTACATCCCCAAATTTTTGATTCAAAATTAATATATATCTATAAATTAATTAAATATTTATAATAATATAGATATCTATTGATCTAACTTAGTATAGTTTAAATTAAAAACAATAAAAAAAATAATAAGTATATATATATATATATTAATAAATAAATTTATAAAAATTAATATATTTTTGATTAAAAAAAATTATTTATAGTATATTAATTAATATTTAAAATTTTTTTATTTAAATTTTAAATGGAAAATTAATTATTATTTAAAAATTAATATGTATTTTTAAATTTTTTATTTTTTTATACTTAATAAATATTATTTATATGTAATTTTATTTTAATTTCAATTTTTATTTTTTAAAAATAAAAATATTTACAGATAATTTTATTTTTCCTATATATATAACTATATATTAAATTAATATATTTATATAAATAGATTTATTTATATATAATTATAAATTTCATAATTTAAAATATTAAATATTACATAATTATTAAATATACTATATATATAAATATATAAGGGTGGAATTTAATATAAATAATTTAATTTAATAGGGTTAATATTATAATTGTTTGATATATATATATTAATTAATTAAATATTTATATATTTGGCAATGTTTTTTAATGGAACATTAGATAAATATATAAATATTAAAAAATAGGAGATCCTTACCGATTTATACATCCCCAAATTTTTGATTCAAAATTAATATATATCTATAAATTAATTAAATATTTATATTAATATAGATATTTATTGATCTAACCTAGTATAGTTTAAATTAAAAACAATAAAAAAAATAATAAGTATATATATATTAATAAATAAATTTATAAAAATTAATATATTTTTGATTAAAAAAAATTATTTATAGTATATTAATTAATATTTAAAATTTTTTTATTTAAATTTTAAATGGAAAATTAATTATTATTTAAAAATTAATATGTATTTTTAAATTTTTTATTTTTTTATACTTAATAAATATTATTTATATGTAATTTTATTTTAATTTCAATTTTTATTTTTTAAAAATAAAAATATTTATAGATAATTTATTTTTCCTATATATATAACTATATATTATAATTATTATATTTATATAAATAGCATATTTATATATAATTATAAATTTCATGTTTTAAGATATTAAATATTACATAATATTTAAATATACTATATATAAATATATAAGGGTGAAATTTATTTATAAATAATTTAATTAAATAAGGTTAATATGATAATGGTTTGATATAATAATATTAATTAATTATATATTTATATATTTGGCAAAATTTTTGAATGAAATATTAGATAAATCATAAATAATAAAATTTATAAATCCTTATCGATTTATACATCCCTAAATTTTTTAGTCAAAATTAATATATATTTATTAATTAATTAAATATTTATATTAATATAGATATTTATTAATCTAACTTAGTATAGTTTAAATTATAAATAATAAAAAATTAATTAATTAATATATATATATATAAATATGAGGAAAGAATTATTTTTATGGATTAATAAATATTTTATTTAGTTTATGGATATTTATTAAATTTTATTATTTATTAAAAAATGGATAATAAAATTATTTTTCATTTAAAATTTTTGTAAATATGTATTAAAGGGGCAAAATGTGAGGAAAGAATTATTTTTATGGATTAATAAATATTTTATTTAGTTTATGGATATTTATTAAATTTTATTATTTATTAAAAAATGGATAATAAAATTATTTTTCATTTAAAATTTTTGTAAATATGTATTAAAGGGGGAAAATGTGAGGAAAGAATTATTTTTATGGATTAATAAATATTTTATTTAGTTTATGGATATTTATTAAATTTTATTATTTATTAAAAAATGGATAATAAAATTATTTTTTCATTAAAATTTTGTAAAATATGTATTAAAGGGGGAAAAATGTGAGGAAAGAATTATTTTTATGGATTAATAAATATTTTATTTAGTTTATGGATATTTATTAAATTTTATTATTTATTAAAAAATGGATAATAAAATTATTTTTCATTTAAAATTTTTGTAAATATGTATTAAAGGGGGCAAAGATGTGAGGAAAGAATTATTTTTATGGATTAATAAATATTTTATTTAGTTTATGGATATTTATTAAATTTTATTATTTATTAAAAAATGGATAATAAAATTATTTTTCATTTAAAATTTTTGTAAATATGTATTAAAGGGGCAAAAATGTGAGGAAAGAATTATTTTTATGGATTAATAAATATTTTATTTAGTTTATGGATATTTATTAAATTTTATTATTTATTAAAAAATGGATAATAAAATTATTTTTCATTTAAAATTTTTGTAAATATGTATTAAAGGGGGAAAAATGTGAGGAAAGAATTATTTTTATGGATTAATAAATATTTTATTTAGTTTATGGATATTTATTAAATTTTATTATTTATTAAAAAATGGATAATAAAATTATTTTTCATTTAAAATTTTTGTAAATATGTATTAAAGGGGCAAAAGTGTGAGGAAAGAATTATTTTTATGGATTAATAAATATTTTATTTAGTTTATGGATATTTATTAAATTTTATTATTTATT